GGTTCATAAAAGTTCACTCTAAAAAGTTGCATGCACAAACAAAAGTTATAAAACCATTTTTTGTAGCCGTTTATTATCATTTGGTTTTGACTGGCAGGATAAAACGTGACATGTTCAACGATTCGATGGGCCATTTTGACACTACATAAACATAAAAGGCGAGGAAACACCTTAACTTATAAGACTTACTGTAAAATATCACCTAACTAGTTTCTGTATATCGCATAGAAATACTCCAAATATCAAACCTAATTATAGATTGCAGCGATCTAAAGATATAAAGCAAAAACTCCGAACCTACCTCCAGCTCGGCGCCATTTTTCTTGCCCCGACAGCGGTAACACTTGACAGCGGTCGAGATACATGAAGTACCCACCAAAGGCCAACTAGTTCCAGTCCTACTCCGCATCGTAGCTGCATGAACACAAACCAGATTCGCCCTCTGCAAGTACCTCAACAAGTAGCTCAGAATGGAGACATGGCAAATGCCGCAAGGCTGAGAAAAACTGCTGTTGCTACATTTCACATGTATATCTTGTTTTTAATTTTTCATATTTATAGTTCGTTCAAAAAATATATAAACTCGTGTAATGCGAAGCTGCGAAGGCAACGCCGAAGAACGGTAAAAAACAACAATAGGTCTAATTAGCAAAAAAGCAACTTTGCACGTGCAGCACACTTTTTTGTACATTTCTTTGCCGTTGTGTTGCACGACTACAACGTGAAACTTCCACAAACTTCTCAGTTACACGCTTTATGGGGGAAATGTCGTACGTGTTCTCGCTCGCTTTTTTTTCACTGCCGCTCATTTTCACATTGCATTGGTGGCCGCTAGCATTTCTCATTTTCTCACCGCAGCTACAAAATTGTCATGTTGTTCTTGTAACAAAAAACTGTCTCCTTTTTTATCTCTCGCTCTAGATCTCTGTCGCCCTTTTTCTCGTTGAGCTTCGCTGGTGTGCCGCCTAGTTTCTCTTTTTTTTCTGTCTTTCACTTCCTCTATTTTCCAATTTTTTGGGAATGACAGTTCAATTAATCTAAGCTTTTAAGCTTAGATTTATTGTCATGTCCAAAAATTTGGAGAAGTATTACAATACTTCAGACAACACGGATACAGAAACAATTTCTGCTTTCCGTTTTCGTCTTTATTGACTCTTTAGTTGTCTCTGCTTTACAACACTTGAGTGGCTATGCGATTTTCCGCCCAAATAACCTCGAGTTCCATTTGGGTTGCCATACCTGTTGATTGACTTATTTTACATTGGTATGCCTGTGGTGCGGACAGACGGTCAGTTGCTCGGTCGGGCGGTGTACGGTCACTTGATTACCCAATTTTTTAGGATGGGTAGATGTTACGAATGCGTTACTTCGTATTGCGTTACTAAGGTGCATGCGCACCAGCTTAGGGGGCGAGGCCCTATGATTGTGTAATCGTTTGTAATCCTGCTTTGTGCTTTATGCCTATATCGTGATCGGTTATGTGAACGTTTATAAGGTCCAATCATTTTAATCGGGAAAAGAGGTATGATTCTTCGTTTAATATATATTTTTTGCTTTTATTGTTGCATGTATCACGGATAAATCAGTCTTTATTTACCTACCGAACTAGTCGATTATCGTATTTGCTTTGTATCATGTTATCGCCGAGTTATTTAAGACATTGTGTTCAAGTCTCTTAGCTAGACTCGCGATAATTTCATTGTTGTTTCTGTTACAGTTTTTACGTGCCTAAACGATAAATAAATTTGTGAAGTATCACCGATCGCTATCTATGGTTTTGGTCAATACCTTTTAACGCAACTTGATGACCAGTACGCTACAGTAGATTTACTAATTATAATGACCAATGCGGGGAGGCTCAGCCCGAAAAGGGTACCTTTTTCACGCCTCAGGTATATGAAAGGGTAGGGATTTCACTAGTTGAAGTAAATGAAACTGTAGGTAGATTTGTCATTTCGGTCCGTAACAAGGCCAACACAACTGAAAGATGCATTATGTCTGTGAGAGAGTCGGCGCGAGAAAACTTTCTGGCTTTCAGATTTGTTCACATGAAAAGACAGTCCATTTACAGCAGTTCGAAGGGATACAAAGTTCTAAACAAGGTATGTGGAAGGGGTACCATTTATCAATAGAAGGCAGACGAAAGGGGTACTGTTGAAGTGACAAATGAAATAATTGATTACAAATGTAGTAAAAATTGCATTTGGCCACAAATGTAATAGAAACCTAAAATGCTATCAAAACCGTATATTACTCGAAAGAGTACCGCTTTAAATTAAAGTCGAACACAAATAAGTTCCGCGGCACCCTTTCGAAAAACACAACTCTGTTGCCGTGATTTAATCCAAAGAGCGCAGCCCTCAAATAACTTTGTATACACTCTTCTTGCGCCCGCTCGCTCGCTGTCCGGACGAGAAACATTGTTTTACTTGGCCTGACCGTATCAGCAAATCGGGACTAGTGTGCGAGAATTTGCATCATATATTGGGAGTGTCACGTGGGCAAACTAAAAGCAAGGGGTAACTCCTGATCTGCTTTCCCCGCGTACGCATGGGAGAACTGCCTTGCGGTTCTCAGCCAGCAGCTCCCAAGATTGGCTCAATGACCAAAATAGTGTTTCCTCAAGATCAACACGGATACAAACTGGAAAATATGAAATCTGCGGCGTTCTCACATGCACATGTTACAGTTACAAATCTTAAAACTAAAAGACTGGTATATAACAACTAAATATTACAGATTGGACCATAATGATTACTTTAGATTAAAACAGAAAAGAATAACACAGCAGTTCACACAATAGCATTACACCTATTAATTTTTCGAAATCATACCTTCAACTGATTCTAGCCTTAAATTCATCCAGAGCTAAATCTTTAGGTGCTAACTTATTCATGTACGAGTAATTTTTAGCAAGCAGAAGAGAAAATCGAGCCTTTTGGCAATTTCCAATCATTTCTATCTTTTGAAAGCTAAAAATAGTAGTGTCTTTTGACGCGATTTCTCAAACCCCGAACTTTGAGTGACAAGATGAGGTGTTTACCTTATACCGTTACTGTAAGATAAGGTGATAGGGAAAAAACACTAAAAGAGAATCTGTCAATTAACTGGCCGATAATCAGGAGAATAGCTACCAAGATGATATAAGTACAACTAAGTGCCGGATACAGACGTTGATCATGAAATAAGGGGTCGGGGGGGAAGGGTGGTCATCCAGACCCTTAGATAAGGGGGGAGGCAGTCTTCAAAAAAAGTTTTTTGTTTTTTTTTTTCAGTCTGGTCTAAAAATAAGACAAGAGGATATCCGGAGGCCGGCCCCCCTGGGCCCGTTCCCTGGATCCGATGCTGCAACTTCAGGCAAACAAATTTCACGGATTTTTCAAAGACAAATTAAATTACAGCTTTTAAGGACTGAGATTTATTTTAAAAATCGGCATTCTTTAACCCCCTTTGATCACTCTGGCGGGCTAAAACCCTAGCCTTTACAATTAATTTTTACCCCCATACTACTTTCCGCAACAAGACTGACTAGGTGTGACTTGCAGTTGCATCTGAGATAAAGAAATAGCATTTGAAATAGAGAAACAGAAATAAAATATTGTTCATGTACAAAAATGTTTTTACGTTACCCGTGAGTTTTAGAGGTTCTTGTACACCAAGGGTAAGCCAAATTCTCCTCGGTAAAATAATCCGAGTAATTTTACAGAAAAAGGAAGGTGCATACAAGAGCGTGAATTTCAAAGACTTTTCAAGACCTAATAAAGACATCAAGTATTTTTTAAGGACCTAAACCGAATTCAAGGACTCAGAATTTCAAGACGAATAGTAAAATTCAAGACCTTTTCAAGATTGAACGGACCATGTATAACAGAAACAGAAAGCAACGCTAAACGGCGACGGCGACGAAAACGACAAAAAAATAGTAAATAGGTCTAATAGAGAGGAGAAGTGTGACGTCACGTTGCCATGGTAGCAAAAATTCTGGATGACAGCAACGAAGAGCTTAAGCACAGGGAGCCCGAACGCTGTATTAGCTAATAGAAAAACATTAGATGTATTTACGCTGTATTAGCTAACAAAATAACAAGAGGCAATTTCCTTTGTTCCGATCAGAGACGGTTAACATTGCTGGTTATCAAATGCGTTTGTTTGTCTGACGCGTCGTAAATAGACGCTCAAGTTTCGTCTCACGTTTCTAATATTGTTAACTATTAACTTTCCTCTAACAGCCACGAGAGAGTCTCTTTTCTCTTCTCGTGACCGTTAAATTGAAACCCCAGATCATCTCCCAAGGAGATCGAGAGTTAATAGTTAACAGGAACGTGAGACGAAACTTGAGCGTCTTATTTACGACGCGCCAGACAAGCAAACGCATTTGATAACCAGCGATGTTCACCGTCTCTGATCGGATTCAAATCCCTTCCAAAACGACTTATAACGACACAGGAACAAAGGAAGGGCTCCCTGTGGCTTAAGCAAGGACGACGGCGAAAATAACGAGAACGGCAAAAAAGCGATAGGTTTAGCAAAATAAAAACTTTTCACGTGCATCACGCTTTTTTCTAGCTACATTTCTTAGCCGTCGTTACACGACTGCGCTTCCTAATTTCACGCTCCCGCTCTATGGAGCTGGTCAACACAGAACAAAAATGTTCTTTTTCTTTTTCTAAACTCGGATACAGTCCTTTCAGAGAATTTTGTCAACATTTAACACATTAAATGAGACTGAATATGTTCGATGAAATTTGAAACAGTGCGAATTTACTTAGTTAAGTGACGTTTTTGGATGGTTGTCTGATCCAAAAGTTTTGCTACTGTAGCAACGTGGCATAAAGACTTCTCCTCTCTATTAGCAAAAACAACAACAACAACAACAACCTTGCACTTGCGCAGCACACTTTTTTGTACATTTCTTTCGGCTGACCTTGTTTTGCACAACTACAATGTGAAACTTTCCAACTCATTTATGTTGGAAAATGTCGTATGTGCTCACCAATGTTTTGTCATGTTCCTGTTCACTTTTTTTCTACACTGCCGCTCATTTTCACCTTGTTGGCCGCTTTTTCTAATTTTCTCACAGCCAATTTCCATGTTTTTCGAAATTTGTCTTTTGTTTTTGTCTAACGCTTTAGCTCTGTTGTCGACGTCATTAAAAGATTTTAAAATTTAGTCGCACTTGTCTTTGGGCGCGATCCATTCAACCAAACTTTCCGGAAATTTCGGTCCAAAACTCAATGGATCGGTTCGGTCCAACCGGAAAAGTTTCGAAAAAACGGGTCCACCTTTTGAGGTGGTCCTCTTTTCCCGGTCGGACCGGTTGGAATTTTGGTTGAATGGATCGCGCCCTTGGTTGTTGGTTTTTCTCTCTTCTAAGTCCGAATGGACTTTCTCTCTCTAAAAAGTCGGGGTGGACTCTAGGTTTCCCGCCAAAAAACCCGTGTTGCATTTGCCATACCTGTTGATTGAGTTATTTTACATTAATATGCCTGTGGTGCGGAAGGGTTTGCGTACGCTCACGTGATTATTTATGCACAGTGAACCAAAATTCTTACCCATGCTGCACCGTTGCGCGGGCGAGCTTCCCCAAAAATGTTTGTGGTGAACCAAGACGTCAAAAACGCCAAAATAGACCTTTGTCACGCGACAGCCATTTTGTCTCAGGAGATTTAAAAAACTTTGTTTATGCACAGCTAGCCTTGTAGAACCTTAACCTTCTATTGGGGCATGAAGATTTTCAGAGATTTCAAGGAAATTTTTTGCCTGATCTTAATTTGTCTGCAAGAAAAATATTAAAACTTTGTAGCGACTATCCGCTGAGCAAAACTTACGGAATAACAGCTTTCAATCTTAAACATTGGTTCAATGAACATAATTTAATATCTATTGCGAGCGTAAAGTCACGGCATTGCTCAAGCACTTTGCAACGGCAAAAGATGTTTAAGTCTTCAGCCTCGCCGACGCTTATTTCCCTTTCGTAAACGATCGTTGCCATTTATAACACACGATACCACCATGTTGCTTGGTAACCAAGCCTTTAGTTATAATGTAATATGCTCCCTGGATTAACTTGCAACAAGAACGCCATACATAGTCTCGCTTGCTTGGAGATTAGATAAGAGATAAGGAGGCGTTTAATTCTACACGAAGCAGGATTTCTTTGCAAAAAGGTTTCACTTCCCACTTTATCGACGGTCGAGTATTCTTCAGAGTATTTAATGAATTTTTTCTTCAGAATATACGCGTGTACAAATACAAATCATTGCTAGAAAGTAAAAACGTGATGAACATGGCGCATCATTTTAATCATCGCCAAAAATAAACGGCATGCTCATCACAAGACTCATTTTCATACAATGAAAGTTTACAACGCCCGACCAGTTTATAGCCTCACCATCGACGGTTTCACTGAAGCATTAACTTGTTCAAAAGTAATCAACGATTTCAAGCAATAGAATTCGTGGACCGACCGGTTCCGGGAAAGCTCAACATCTCTGCATCATTCTTTCCTAAGCTTTCTTCACAAAATAGAGCATGGCGCTGTGACAGGTAGCAATTCCCATCCTCAGTTTCCATGATCTCTGCTAGTAACACCTGGGACCATGATTCCCTTTTGGCGCGCACACAAACGAGACTAACTACCTACTGTGCTGGTCTATGTTTTAAAAGCTTAGCTAGTAATTTTTTTTTTTTCAACGGGGAACAAGTTCCTTCTCTCATGTCAAGAGACTCGTCCTTTGTCATAGTTACTAAAAAAACGTGCGTTTGTTTCGCTTGAGTCCAGCAAACACGTAGGATTGGTTTCATACTTAATAGTCTGCATTTCCTCTAAACCATTGCTTAACTCTCTTCTGTCTGACTTTCTGTTTACGATTCACCGCAAACCAGCTGCCATTTCTACTTTGATATCGCTCCAATAGTTTCGAATAACTCACTTCCATTTAATATTTTCAGCCTAAAATCGGCAGGAAAAGAAATAAGAATATTCAGCCTGTGTGTTTTAAACTGAAGAAACTGACGCTATATAATACGACTTACATCTTATTAGCTGCCTTAAAGTTAATAAAGGGTACTATAGTGTAAGTTGATTTTTTTGTAGTCGATTGCAGTTTAAGGCATATATTACTTTTTGACACATGGTTGCTCATCGGATTGCCACGTCATGTACAAACGGGTGTTCTGAATATTTGCAATTGATGATGATTTATTAAGTAGCTAGGGTACTGTATCTTTAGGCCGCCTCATACTCTTTAAGTCACTCTTGAACATGTAGTTTATCAAAAAATGTGTTCATGGGTCCAGCAAATACTGTTGGATTGGTTTGCGACGTAAAAATTCCCTTTTCCTCTTAAGTTACCTGTCAGCTCGTTCTGTCTGATTGTATATTTGCCATTCATAATTGAAAACCAACTGCCTTTGTTTATTTAAAATTGCGTCAGTAGTTTCATATAACTTCCTTCCTTTTTAACTGACGAACTTCAACATTTATACGACCTATTGCGTTTCGCTTGAAAGAAAATTAATACTAATTACTGTCTGATGATGACGTTACATTTAAAGTTTTAATTCCGGGTTCAGACATGGAAAGTTTCAATTTCAAACAAGGTGAGAGTTTGGATATTGTGAGCACGACTTAATGACTTTTTTTACGACTGTCGCGGAAGACTCAACAGTACTCAGTTAAAAACCAATTGCCATCGGAGGAGGAAGACTGGAGAAAATTCAGTAAGTCTCGCAAAGAGTAATTTCCAGCCTCAGTCTGTATATAACGCTCCATTCAATGGTGGAAGCTGAAGGTCAGTCTCATTCAAAAACGGATGAAACCTAGAAAGCAATGAAATTCTTTGCATATGATAGAAACTGAACGCTGATTAGGGTTACGTAAAAAAAAGATGGCAAGTGCTGAAGGCTTGCGTTTGACACTTGTTTTCTTCAACGCTTTCTTGTCTTTCACCGCCATCGTATTAAACATCATAACCATGCAAGCGCTCAGAAAAACGTCGTCGTTGCCTAAGACTTTAAAAACATTGCTACTAAGCTTGGCTGTGTCTGATCTGGGTGTAGGCTTACTTGTCCAACCACTGTATGTTGCAATTCTTGTGATGGAAATAAAACAAAACACAAACAGTGCTGCTTATCATACAGTAAAGAAAGCGCTTTTAATCCAGGGAAGAACATTGGTCTTTGCTTCGCATTTTGGTGTTTTTGGATTAGCTGTGGACAGATTCTTGGCCATTCAGCTTCATCTCAGATATCAGGAGCTTGTGACTCACAAACGTGTTGTTGCTGTTGTGATCTCAGTCTGGGTGTTTAGTGCATCAATTTCCATCCTACGTGAATTGCATGATATTGATGTTATGCGAACGGTCATTTTAGTTGTTTGTGTCGTAACTACAGGATTGCTTTATTGCAAGATATACGCTTCCGTCAGACACCACACAAATCAGATTCACGCTCTGCAAGTTCAACAGGCGACAGAGAATGAAGATATGGCAAATGCCGCAAGGCTGAAAAAATCTTCACTGGCTACATTCTACGTTTATTTCGTGTACTTAGTTTGCTATTTGCCAACGTTTTGTGTTGTTTTTGCCAAGACCACTGGTGAAACTCCCTTGTTATCTCATTTATTGTATTTCACATTGACTCTTGTGTTTCTCAATTCATCCCTCAATCCCTTGATCTACTGCTGGAAGATGAGACACATTCGACAAACTGTTATGGACATACTTCGAAATATTTTCGCCATTTTTCCCCACTAAAGAAAGGATCTAACTGAGAATAACTTAATTGGCCTTTTTCTCTCTGAGTGGTGAAAATATTAGCTTTCCAGCAATACAATTGGAAAAATGACACTAAATATAAACGGGAACTGAAACCTCTTGTACTCTCTGTTTGAAGGCAAAGGGATAAATATATGATCAAGTATAAGTTCATGAGATTTCAGTTTGCTTTGCAATAATTAACAAATAACGGAAACTCTGAAAGTATTATTTATCAAAGTCCGAAAGAGGGCAAAGAGAAAAAACTAGTTAGTTTAGGACGAATGACGAGTGACTTGATAAACAGAGGGCCGAATTTCCAAATTTGCATAGGCAAAACGTTCTGTGTACAGTAAAGTGAGTTTACTAGATTTTGTTAAGGCCATATTAGTGCATGCAATGAAGAAAACTAACTAAAGAGGAGAGAGATCAAAACTATGTCAATAAATCTTGCATACTGAATGTAGCAAGAGTGGCAAAAAGATTTACCGGTATAACAACAACAACAACAATACATAATAATAATAATTATTATTATTATTAATAAAAATAATAAGAATAATACTAATAAGAATAATAATGATAAGAAGAACAACACGAGCCTATTTGTTGAGAAAGACGAAAACTAGTAGTTTATACTGTTGAGAATATATATTGCAATATTTGTAACTGATTCATATCAATAAAGTTCACGTGAAAAAGTTAAGATGTTTTGAAGAATGCTAAAAATATACCATTTAATCAGGAAAGAGCTCTCCTGACAGCGCAACCGATTGGAACAAATGATCGGTAGCTAAATGACGTCATAATACTAAAATACCATGATATGGAACCACAAAACAGTCATAATATGGCTCCAATATCAAGCAAAGAACTTCTTGCTCTGAGATTACTTAGAACCATAATGTTTGACGAAACTATTAATTATAAGGCCCAGGGTTGAGCCTATTCAGTTTCCTCATGTCCCAGTTCAACGTCTTGCAAGCAACTCTCGGTACGTGCGTTTACAATAAAGTTGAAACTTTTGTACGAGACCCCGTACTTAATGTTTCCATAGATATTTAGAAAGAGCGAGTCCAAAAAAGTAATTATTGTAACCACTCACAGAACAACAGTAAGAACGTGAAAATGAAAAAAAAAATTACAAAATCGTATATTTTCCACTATTCTTAAACTAAAATGTGTTTTCTCCGACACATTAATTTTCCTGTTCGGTGGTTACGAGCGCTCTTTCATAATCATGAAAGTTCGCCCACAATTTCTATTTCAAGGGAGGGAGGGAAGAAAAGCATGCTCCTGTCATTTAGCAACTTTTAACTGCAAAGAGAAACACAATACATACACACTTCATACAAACTGAATTTTTTTTTTTTTTTTGGCCTACAATGTAACTTCTGGGTCCACTAATAAATGTGCCAGCCAATAAAGACAATAAAGAGTAATGTTTTTATTACCTACATTTATCATTTGTCAGGGAGGGGGGTGGGGCTAATTATTGTTACATTAGTTTTATCCAAAAAAAAAAACCTTTTGCCACTTCCTCGCGTATACGTGTATAAGTAGACATTTTACAAGGAAATAAGCGAGTTTTTTTGTTTATTTGGTACGCATAAAATTGGGCGCAAAGATATTGTTTTCGATACATTTTCAATAAAATGAAATTGAGAAATAGTTGATTGTCGTTTAAAGCATATACTGCTTTTTGCAACATGAGTACTAGCCTGCGAAAGCATCCGTTTCTCCTTCGCTCTACGCCGCTGGGGACGTTTCGCGAAACGTCTCCAGCGGCGTAGAGCGAAGGCGAAGCGGATGCATTCGCAGGCTACATGATTACCCATCGAATTGCCACGTCGTGTTGGCCGGTGTCATAAAGTTGAGGCTATAATGGATATTTTAAACATTCTGATCATTGCTACTGATTAAACTTTGACACACAAGACAGTCCAAGACAGCATGACTTGTTTAAGTAACTACCTACTGCGTCTTTGTTTCCTAGCAAGTAAGTTTTTTTTTAATGGATAATAAGTTTCTTATCTCAACTCCTCCCTGTGACTCGTCATAGATCGTTGTTTATCAAAAGGTCTAACCCATATTTTTTGCTTGGGTTCAGTAAATACATTGGATTGGTCTTCGACGTGATAGTCGGTTTTTCCTATAAACCATCGTTAAACTTTTTCTTTGTGCATGACTTTGTATTAGCGATTGATTGCAACCAGCTGCTGTTAATAGAGCGATTTTCGTATGACCTTGAAACGAAAACGCGCCAACAAAACAGAAACAACAAACGAGCGGAATTAGAGCGATTTGATTGGTTTATCGAACGGATACAAACCCGCGTGGCTTTTGGTTTGTTAAGCGAACGCTCGGGTGAAAAAACTTCACGCCCGAGAACTTTCTAGAAATCAATCGATACTTCGGTTTGACCTCATGCTTCCACACGATTGGCTAATCGAACAATGCCTTCTCCATAATAAGGTTTTTTTTGGCGGGAAAACGAAGAGGTCCTGTTTTGATCCTTTCATCCATTGGCTGATAAAACAAATGACGAACACTTACCGAAACCATTTTTCCTTTTTGACCGACGAACTTCAACACTAAGTCCGACCTATCGCGTTTCGGTTTAAATGAAAATATATTCAAATCACTGTGTGATGAGGACGTCATATTTAAATTCTGAATTACGGGCTCTAGCAGGAGGCCTGGGCTCTGGGAAGATATAGTTTTAATTCTAAACAAGTGAATATTTCGGATGCTATGAGTACAACTTTATGTTTTAATGGAGGGAGAAAATATCGTCTTGTTTATTAAATGCGCATTAAATTGCGAGCAATGATGAACTTTCTTTATATTAAACTAAAAAAACTAGAGATAATATGATTCACGTTTTGATAGCTGCCTCGGATGAATTTAATACCACCGTCCATTAAGTTAATAAAGCATGACAGTATATTGTTCTTGAATACTTTTTTAATAAAATGAAATTGAAACATACTTTCCGAGTTGATTGTAGCTTAAAACATATATTGCTTTTTTGGAACATGATTACTCATTGAATTGCCACCTGGTGTTGGCTGGTTTCATTAAGATGAGACTACAATAGATGTTTTAAACGTTCTGATCGTTTGCAACTGATCAAGTCTGACTCATGTGACCGAATGATTTATCAAGTATCTACCCACTGTGTTTTTGTTTTAAAACCCTAGCTAGTAAGGTTTTTTTTATAGGTAATAAGTTTTTTTTCTGAACCCCCAGTCCTATAACTCGTCGTAAGTCGTACTTAATTAAAATTTGTTCGTTTTTTATAGTTTTTACCTGAGTTCATGATCAGCAAACAAGTTGGATTGGTGTCTGACCTAATAGTCTGTTTTTCCTATAAACTATCACTTAACTCTTTCTATTTGACTTTTTGTTTGCGATCCGTTGCAAACCAACTGCCTTTTCTAGCATAGTATATTGTTCTTGAATACTTTTTTCATAAAATGAAATTGAAACATACTTGCCGAGTTGATTGTAGCTTAAGACATATATTGCTTTTTTGGAACATGATTACTCATTGAATTGCCACCTGGTGTTGGCTGGTTTCATTAAGATGAGACTGCAACGGATGCTTTAAACATTCTGATCGTTTGCAAATGATCAAGTCTGACACATATAACCTGAGATCAGTCGTTATTATTATTATTATTATTATTATTATTATTATTATTATTATTTTTATTTTTATTTTTATTATTTTTATTTTTTGTTTTTTTTTTTGCTTCTTTGCTTCTTTGGCGCGAGAGGGAAAAAAATAACGCCTGATACATTCATTTAACAAGCCAATCAACCGCCACCTAATTTACATGATCTAACGTCTGCTTGACCTGTCATGTTATTAGCCAATCAGCGGTTACCAGACGGGAATCAAATTTTAGTGGGAATGTCTCTTTCGCCGAAATCAATTTTGGGGAAGAGAAAATTTTTAAGTACGTGCAGATGGCGCTTCCTAAAAAAAAAATTTTTTTATGTTTTTTTTTTTACCTTTATTTAACAGCTACTAATAATAAAGAATTTACAAGCTCTTTGACTTCGTTCTGTGGAGAAAGCAGTGAAAAAAAAATTAGGCTGGAGCATCATATTTCACAAACTGAAAAGTGCTGTGAAAGCGAAGATCGCTCAGACTGATTCGCAGGTTTCTGAAGGAGAAACTACAGTCAAACCAGGTCGAGATTCCATTCATGAATTGATTATTTGAAAAGTCAACCCGTTAGTCGCTTCTGTAACTTGTAGCCGGTATCAAATTGCATTCAAATGACCGGCGAATTTATGACAGCAATTTTCAGTAAACGATGAAATGGAAAATATTTCAATGTATGAAATTTCTATTTAGACATTCTTCATATTCAAGAAAACTGAGTTGGCAGAAATTTCATAACGAACTCGCGTGTGTATTAGCTGCTCATTACGCAAGCAAAATGCAGACTGAAATCAACAACAACTAACGGATGGCGGCGTTTTGGCCAATCAGAACAGCCCAAATCATCCGTATTGTTTGCTATCCAGTCAGGAAAAAGTCTAGATTCTGGCTTTTTTGCATGTGATCTGTGAAAGAAATGTATCATGCCCTCCTCCCGAAAACAGATTACAGAGATAAAGGGAGAGGGCATGATCGCAGGCTAGACACATATGACCGAATCGAATGATTTGTCAAGTAACTACCCACTGTGTCACTCGTTGTTTTAAAACCCTAACTAGTAAGGTTTTTTTTTTTATATAGGTAATAAGTTTTTTTTTTCTGAACCCCCAGTCCTAAGACTCGTCGTAAGTCGTATTTAATTAAAATTTGTTCGTTTTTTTATAGGTTTTACTTGAGTTCAGCAAACAAGTTGGATTGGTGTCCGACCTAATAGTCTGTTCTTCCTATAAACTATCACTGAACTCTTTCTGTTTGACTGTTTATTTGCGATCCTTTGCAAACCAACTGCCTTTTAATTTCTAATTTAATATTGCGTCAGTAGTTC